GACAGGTGGGGAAGGGAGTTCTCCAGTTTGGAGGTCTGCCTTGTTATTCCAAAAGGAATATCAGTACTTTCAGGCACCAACCTGGATTAGGGACTGCTCACTTCTACTCTCTGTTAAACACAGATGGAAGCCGGGCCCCAAGCTTTGCAGGAGAAGATGGGTGCTGTGTGCAGGTCACTGAGTGTGGGGTGCTGTCCTGGAGACTCCGTATGACCAGCAGGAAGCAAAGGCACTCGAGTCCTTGGGCTAAATGTCAGGCCTCCAGTGCCCAACTGGGATGATCATGTGGGTGTTGCCACCATGTTAGGGAGAGGTGTCGAGGCCAGGTGGAGGGCATGGCAGGGACTGGGGGCAGATCGCAGAGCTAATGAGAGGGTAGAGGGAGCTGGTGACCACAAGGGAGGGCTCGGGATGGCCCTGGCCCTGGCTGGGTGTGTGCACGGAGAGTGGAGGTGTCAGATGCCCAGCCTGGGACAGCTGGGCAGGGGCTGGGGCTGGGGTGGACATGGGGCAGTTCTGGGTGCACAGGTGGGTGATGCTCTGAGACATCTTGATGGAGGTGCCCGAGGGAAGCTGCGCTGACAGGGTGGTATGGTCCCGGTTGGGGTCACTGGCATATGAGCTCTGGCAGCCCTTCTGGGAGAGGGCAGGACACCTGTGCTTGGGCCATCCTTCTACCTGGTCAAGAGCAAAGATGATACCCAGGCAGCAGGCCCCCGAGGCTGTGGCTGACGCTGGAGCTACACCCCCCACCCCCACTTCCTGGTGTGTGAGATGAAGCATTTGCTTATGGTTTAAGAGGTCTGCGTTTCTTGCAGCCAGAAGCATCCTGAGGTACCCAGAGGCCTTTCCAAGATGGGAAGGCCAGACAAAATGGTAGCCTCCCTGGCCCCTGTGAGGGCCAGACACAGGTGAACCCATGGCTTTAGACACTGGCCCAACTGAGTCCTGGGCATCACTATCTGCCACACCCAGATGGTCCCTTTAAAATTCTTCTCTGCTCTCTCTGCTAGGTTGAACACACATGCAAGTGGACAGTCACAAGTAGGCATTGAGCTATATCCTTCCCTGGGCCACCACTGCTTAGATTGAGTCTGAGCTTCCTTCTTGCATGCCACATAGAAGTGTTAACTGAGCCTGGACACCCAAGCCTCCAAACTTCAAGCACTTTGTCTCTCACTTCCAGGCAGAACTGATCCCAGTGGTGATGGGAAACCTCCATGGTGCAATGGCAATAAAGACAGATGCTACCTAGGCACTGCCGTTCCCCTTCTGCCTGACACAGCTTCCTGCAGGGTGTATGGTGAGGGAAGGTTGCTCAAGAAACACCGAGAACCACAGTCCCTGAAGGCCACTTGGCTACCACATCCTGTTCCATCAGCGCGTCCTTGGCACGTTGTGTGCCAAGGCTGCTCCTGGCTAGAACTCCACCAGCGCATCTGACAGGGCCGGCAGCAGTGCTGGAGAGAACCGTCGTCTTCAGAGGCCCCTCTGCAAGGTCACTAAGCCCTCATGCTTGGTACGCTTGGCACATGGGCCCAGTGGGACTGGAAGAGTCTAGGTGCTTCCCCACAACCCCTGGGAGCTCGCTTGTCTGGAGACAGGACAGTGAGGTCTCATTGCCTCCATCTGCTTAGCAGGTCTTGCCAAGGAAGGTGGCCTTGTTAAAGGGGCAGAGTACCTTCCCGGGGCCTGGTTTCCGTGTGGACATCAGGGGATGGCAATGGTGCTCAAGTGGGCTCCTGTCTCTAACGGTGCCTGTGCTGCATATGTGACCCAGAAGCCAGAGGCAGAGCAGCCCTGACTGTCCTCTGCAGAATGACGCAGGCACCCTCCCGTCCAGAGCTGGGACCTGCATGGAGCAAAACACTTTTTCTTCCCAGCGTCCCTCCTCTGAGGTACATGGAGTAACTTGCGACACCCAAGATGATCAGGAAAAGTTTCCATTTCTTTCTGCACCTCACGCCCTTGGGAAGATTTTAAGGGGCTGGGTGTGCAGGACCTGAACCAAGGCTGGGTTATCCTCATCCCTCCCCCAAACACCAGGCTTCCAGATCCAGCTGCGGCGCCAGTGCCTTCAGGGACCAGGCTGGTAACCTCAGGAGGCAGGTGTAGGGCAGCAGGGAGTGGGGGGACTGTGCCAAGTCGGGGAGTACAAGCCAGACCTAAAGGCATTCAAATTCAAATAAAAACAAGCATATGTGACATGCTCTGAACAAGCGTTGGAGCGGAATCAGCCCTGCGGTCCTTAGTTTTTGTCTTTGGGATCTAGACTGAGTGAGTAGACTTGAGCAAAGGACCACCGGGAATTTCCGGGTCCCACATTTTACCTAGAGGAGAAGGGGAACCAGGGGGAGAGGCACACACCACACCAGTGGAGGAGGAGGAACATTTCCTGGAAGAGGAAGAGGAAGAGGAAGAGGAAGAGGAAGAGGAGAGATTTGAACTATGGAAGTTTGAAAAAGGAGGAGTTTTTTTGTTGTTGTTTTGTTTTTTTAGTTGAGGACAGGTGATCAGGAAGCTGGGATGTGTCTCTAGGTCCTCTGCTCCCCCAAAAGGGCTTCACTGGAAATTGTGATGGGTGTGTGCCTTGTGCAGTCACTCAGCCTGTGGGTACCATTGTGGGGACTAATGTGTGGGCTGGTCAAGGATGGTGGTCAGTCTCTCAGTTGTTCCTGGCCTGGGGGAGGAGTCAGGGCATTGGGGTTGGGCGTTATGTGATAGGAACAGCTGCCAGGGATTGCTTGGGAGTGTCAGGGAGATGAGGGACAAACTCTGCCAAAAAAATTCCCAGAGCAAGTATCCCAAAGTGTGCAAGACAATGTAGTTACATGAACCTGTCAGAAGATACCATGGACTCACAACGTCGGAGTTACTCTTCTTCAATTCTTTCTGATTACATTAAAGAAAACATCTCTGTGCTGGTCTGTCTTGACACTTCTGTAGCACTTGCTAATCTGCTCCAGTCTCACTTTCTTTTGCAGGTTGTAGTATGTAGAATTTGATAACATTTTTTTCTTTTCATTTTATTTATTTTTGGCTGCTATCTTTGATTTATGATGAGATGGTTAGATGTTGGCTTTTCCATTTACGGTAGTGATTTAAAGTATCCTTTACAAATTAAGTGAATTATTAAGTGCTGCATCAAGAAATATAGCAGTGGTAGTGATGGTAGGTTTATGGCAAGGACCATAAACGCAGCAGGAAGGTGGTAGAATAGGACCCTTGACGTAGATAAGGCTGCTGGCTTCACCTTTTGAGGAGGATGAAAGCACAGACAGCCCTGGGGGGGAATGCAGCAAGGGTCCCCGGACAGCGCCTGAATGGACCCAGCTCTGGGCTACCTGGCTCCCACAGCCTTCAGGATTCAGCTCATGGTGCTTCTTATGGGAAGCCCTCCCGGATGTCCAGCTCTGGGGTCATTTCCCTTCTGATACACTGGAATTCCAGTTCCAACTTTCTCTGGAACCAGCTGGGTCAACACAGGTCACAAGAGCAGAAGCAGGGATCTGTGGTGAACGCAGGGTAAGTGTGCCATTTAAAAGCTGCTAAGCAGGAATGTGGGCCCAGCCTGGCCGCCCTTCCAGTTTCTCAAGAAATGCTAGAAATCTACATTTCTAAGTGACGTCTCACCATTTTTAATGTTGATGACCAATCTCCACCATGCCTAGGGGCCGGATCCAGCCTCAGGCACTCTCAGTGACACAGAGAGAGGAGCTTCCAGGTGAAGATGGCTGGCAAGCAGTAGCGCCGCCACACCTGGGCCCTAGAAATGACAGAGTCAGGGACACGAAATCACTGCTAAAGTGAGTTGTGCAAGTCATGTGTTTCCCCACAAGACTGGACCCTCCTGGCCAGCAGGGTGCTTAAGTCATCTCTGGGTCCTCTGCCCCTGTCCAAGGCCAAGGCCCTGGCCACACATGCCTGGGGCAGGGTGGATGAGAAGATCAAAGGGACAGGTGTCCACTCTCTGGGAAAGTGAGACAGAAGCTGGCATCACACAGCAGAGATGTTCCAGCAGACATGCCTGAGCGGGCTCCCAGGCAGGCCTGGGGGAGGTCACTGTGCCAGAGGACACCAAGTCTGGTGGGACAGGGACTCCAGGCAGTGGGAGGATAGTGACCTTGCTGGAGAGGAGGGATTCCAACAAGGGCTCTGACAGCAAACTCTCCCAGGAAGAACCGAAACAGCCCTGGACGCTCAGTTGGAAAAGGTGGGTGGAGTGTACAGAGGCCATTTCAGGTCGGCTGGGGGTGGGGCGGCCAGGGAGTGCAGTGGCGGGAGGCTAGAATGGCCACGTGGGATCGAGGACAGACAGGAACCTGACTGTGCTCTGGGACCCAGGGCTAAGGTCTGGCAGGAAGAGGCTGTGCTCAGAGGCTGCAGTGGAGGGATGGAAGGCAGATGGGGGAACAGGGACTTCAGGAGGAGAGGGGGTGGGGACTAAGGGAAGCTTGTCTGAGTAAGGGCAAAAAGTTGATCTTTGGGGTGGCCGCCAGAGTGCACCTCCTGTAACAGCATCGTTCTGCCTTTGGGGCACCAGGCCAGGTTCAGCACCCCAGGACCCGAAAGCCAGCCCCCCACCCCGTCCATTCGCACGCCCGGTCCGGCCCCAAGGCACTGAGAGGGTGAGGCGGGCCCCAGTTCCCAGGACTAATGGGTGGTGCCCGGGCACCCCGAGGGCTCTCTGGTGCGGGTGCTCCGGCGGCGCGGCTCCCCCGGCCCGGCCCGCGGCGCTTCTCTGCCGCCGCCTCGAGGTGTCTCTGCTTCGCTGCCAGGCCGGGCGGCGGCGGCGCGGGGAGGGGAGGGCGGCGGCGGCGGCCGCGCCAAGAAGCGCCGGGTCACCGCAGGCTGAGGCGCCCGCCGTCCCCGCCCTCCCCCTCGCTCGCCTTCTCCCTGCCCCGCCTCCTGCTCCCGCTCGCTGCTTCCCTCCCCGCCTCCCCCGCGCTCCCCGCCCTCTCCTCCGCGCCTCGCCTCCTCCGCCCCGCGCCCTGCGGTGCTGCAGCTGCGGGCGGCTCCAGCTGCCCCAGATGTGCGCTGGGCGGCGCGCGGGGAACTTTCGCGCCGGCTGCCAGTGCGGGGCCCCGGCTGCAGTCCGGCTGCCATGGATCCGCCGGCGGGCGCCGCTCGCCGCCTGCTCTGCCCTGCGCTGCTGCTGCTGCTGCCGCCGCTCCTGCTGCCGCCGTCGCCCGCGAACGCCAGACTCGCCGCCGCCGACCCCCCGGGTAGGTGCGGCCCGGCCCCGGCGCTCCGCGACCCCCGCCGGCCGGCCAGCCCCGCGCGCCCCGCCGGCCCTCCGCAGGCGTAGTCCGGCCCGACTTGGGCAAACTCCACGCGCCCCGCCCGGGGCCAAGTTGGCCAACTTCGGGGCCGGCTCGGTCGCGCAGGGGGCGCCCCGCGGTGCAGCCGGGCGCCTCCGGCCGGGGACAGCCTTGGAGCCCTCGCGGCTCCCGAGTCGCGCAGCGTGGAGACCGAGGGCCGGGAGAGCCCGCGGCGGAGAGCGCAGTCAGCCCCCGCAGGTCCGGGGGAGCCAGGGCGAGGCGGCGCCCGGGCTCGCGTCCGGGGACGCTCGGGAGGAGCCGGGTGCCGAGCGCGCCGCCTTGGGCCCTGAGGATTGGTTGGAGCTCCCGGAGGGGATCCCCGTAGATCGGAGGGACCCTGCTCCACCCCTACCTGTTCTCGGGCGCGCGGGGAGAGGGGGCCGGCAGCGGGCTGGCCGGGAGCTGGACACGGAGGGCAGGCCGCTCGTGCTCGGGGGAGCCGAGTCCTCGCAGCTCCGGAGGCCAACAGTGGGGGCAGTCGGGCGACAGGGGCCGCCGAGGGGTCAGGCGCCAGGGTGGGGGCCAACTGGGAAAGGCTTCCGAGCACCCCACGACCTGACAAGGCGGCAGGTTCACAGGTTCAGGGGGTGGGAGACGCTGTGACGAGGTCGTCCCCTCAGGAACTGTGAAGTGCTCGCCGAGCCCCATCCCAGAACAGGGCAGGGGGCAGAGCTCTTGTTTGGCAGGGTCCGGGGGCGGCAGGGTTCCGGAGTGGTGGCCCTGTTAACGCCCCTTCCTGGTAGCAAGAAAGCCCAGGAGGTGCAGGCTAGCTTTTGGGGGCAGAATGCCCCTTCTGTTAGCAGTCGGGCGGGGCTAGGGGATGCGCGTCTGGGCGCCCGGGCTCTGGGGCTCCCAGGCCTCCGCCGGTCTAACGCCCCTTCCCATTGCAGGCGGGCCCCTGGGGCACGGAGCCGAGCGCATCCTGGCGGTGCCAGTGCGCACTGACGCCAGGGGCCGCTTGGTGTCCCACGTGGTGTCGGTGGCTACGGCCAGGGCGGGGGTACGAGCCCGCAGGGCTACCCCGGTTCGGACCCAGAGCTTCCCCGGAGGCAGCGAGGAGGACCCCAGCAGTCGCCTCTTCTACAATGTCACGGTCTTTGGCAGAGATCTGCACCTGCGGCTGCGTCCCAACGCCCGCCTCGTGGCGCCCGGAGCCACTGTGGAGTGGCAGGGTGAGACAGGCACCACCCGCGTGGAGCCTCTGCTTGGGACTTGCCTCTACGTAGGGGACGTGGCCGGCCTCGCTGAAGCCTCCTCCGTGGCGCTCAGCAACTGCGATGGGCTGGTGAGTACGCACTTCTCTCCATCTTTTTTGTCCGCTGCCCTTGCTTGGGCCTCGGGAATGGGTTACCTGGGAGTGCCCAGGAAGGGCAGGACTTGTGCTGAGGACTTTCTCTGCCCTCTCAGTGCTTAGGAGCCACTGGCACCGACTGAGCGGTTGGCTGGAAGGCAAGTTATTTTGATTGGTCTGAGCAGGGGACGATTTATGCAGGGAGACAGCCAGGGTCTCCAAAATGCTTATCAGGTGCATTTTCCTTATGCCTGCCCACACCTATCTATGGCTTGCGTCCAGATGTGGGTCGGTGTCTGTGTGTATCTCTGTGTGCGCATTTGCATGTGCTCTGGAATGTTGGCGCGTACTTGCATCTCAGTGCCTGTGCACCTGTGTGAACATATGCATGTGTCACTGTGTCTCTTGTGCACATATGTGTTTGTGCGTTTTTGCTCTGTTGAGTGTGTGTCCTTGTGCTTTTCGGCATGTAGCCCAGCAGTCAGTCTTCCTGCTTCTGTGTGCGTGGGTGATGTCAGCCCAGGGAGCAGGCAGTGGCTCTGAGATGCCCAGTTACCCTCTGCCCCCTGGCTGACTGGAAGCCACTGGGGTTTATGCTGTGGTTTCCTGTTGAACTTCAGCTGATTATTTGAAAAGTTGGTTTTTCTCTCTGTTTTGAGCTGAGGGGAGCCATTGGAAATGAAAACTCTACTGCCCCTGAGCTGCTTGATCTTTGGGGGGCAGCTCCTGAAGGACAGGAGACAGACTAGGGTTTCCTTTTTGGGACTGCCTGGACCACCTAGCATGACTGGAGCCCTGAGGAGTTCTTCTTCTGGGAGTGGGGGCGTGGCAGAGGGACCATGGCTTAGCACAAGGGGACCTCGCAGTAAGCCAGGATCGATGGCCAGGGAGGAGGCTGACATTGGCGTGCTCTGTCAGCTGCCTAGGGGCCTGGCGCACAGCAGAAGCCACTGCAGTTTTCTATTTTGGATTGGGTGTGCCGTGATCAGGCCGGCTGTGCTGGCCAGACCTCTGAGGCTGCCCACCCTGGGGTCTGCTCTAATTGCTGCTCAGGGAACTCCTGCCCCAGCAAGTGGCCGCTCTCCCAGCCCTGCGGCCTCTGAGCCAACTCGTTCTCAGGCAGCTGGGGTTCATCCTGCCGTCTGCAGAGCCAGCAATTACACCCGGGCCCCACAACCGCTGGGGTTCTTTTTATGGAGACATAGGAAATGTGACTTCGGAAAATCACTGCCTTTAGATGGATTTAGGTAGAACCTGGGCATATTATTGCAAACAACAATAAATATCCTTGGAAGAGTTTGATTAAAATGGTAAGCCTTTATAGTCCCCGTTGTCTCGAGGATGTCCCAGACCTCAGAGGTGTGTCTCATTTTACACTGAAGGTGAATTTCCTAAATTAATGGAAGTCTGCTGGGGCTCTGGGTGAGGCGGGAGGAGCAGACGTGGATGCAGTCTGTTGGTGGGCCAACTCCCGTGTTCTAAGTAATTCCTGATGGACGGCATCCTGGGGGGCTTTGTCATTGTGTCATTCATTCAGCTGTTCGTTTGGTGATTCATTTGTTCAGCCAGCACCTTCTAATGTGTTTATCCAGGATGAATGCATCTGGTCAGAGATGTGGCAGGCCTGGTAACCCCCCAGGGGTCATCTCCTCAGGGTGGCTCACAGGCTGAGGCACTCTGGTCAGACTGGGAGAGCGTGCTCCCAGGGGGCTATTTGGATGGGGTCTTGAAGAATGAGTGCCTAGCTGGAAAAGGCACAGGTTGGCAATCTGGGCAGAAGGAGGGGTGTGTACAGAGGTACCATGCGTGAATCTGGCTGGGCAGGGCGGGCATGCTGAGGTGTCACATGTGCAGAGGTACCATGCGTGAATCTGGCTGGGCAGGGCGGGCATGCTGAGGTGTCACATGTGCAGAGGTACCATGCGTGAATCTGGCTGGGCAGGGCGGGCATGCTGAGGTGTCACATACACTGGACATACTCAGGCAGAGGGACAAAACACAGATGGGAAGATATTGGCTTTGGAAGAAGGGCTGGGGCCTGCCTGAGGGGCTTTGAATGCTGTCAGTGAGCAATGGCCTTGAGAGAGTGGGACAGCATCATTGGTTGTTCTTCTCCTGTTCTTTTCTTTTTTTCTGTATGTATGTGCCTGTTCTGATTTTATACTACTTAATTCCTTAACCCTCTAAGTCCCTCTGTGTTTCCATGACAGGCCTACTTGCCAAGGACCTGGGACTTCACACATGGGGCCCTTGGACCTCACAGAGGCCCTGTAGGGGAGGCATCCTCTGCCCTGGTTACAGATGGAGCACCAAGGCTCTGGGAGGTTGAGTAAGTTGCCTTAGGCCACACAGCCAGTGCTGGCAGGAGTCTGTCCTCTTCTGTCATGGTGCTCCCAAGTCTGAGTGGGTGGAAGGGACATCATGGGTCCAATTATCAGGGGGTCCTGAGGAGTGTCAGCATCAGGCATGGCTGAATCCAGGCACTCAGAACATGCTTTCTGTCTCTCAGCTCTGCCACTGTGTTCATCTCAGAATGCCTGCAACCCCCCCCCCCCACCATGTGGGGCCACCAGAGGCTCCTGGCCTAGCTTGTCTTCTGAGGAGGCAATCTCTCTGAAATGGAATGCTGTCCTCTCTGGGTGATACCTGTAACAGTCCTAGGAGGGATCTGATTAGCCTTTCTTGGGTTACAGGCCCATCCTTAAACTACTAGCTGTGGTGTGGGCCTGGGCTGAATCTCTCGCTCACCTTTATGGTTGAGGGTGAGGCTCAGACCCCCAAACTCTGGAATGGAGAGGGTTCTATACATACAAGCAAGGGGAAGGACAAGTGTGCTGGGGAGATGAAAGTTGTTACCCTGTGTTCAGCTCAGATGTCCTCCTGGGCTCCTGACTGGCCTGCTCAGCTGCCTCTGGGACTCCTTCCTTGGCCGACCCCACTCGTCACATGGGTGGGAATCCCAGGCTCCCTGCTCCCGTGCACGACTCCCCCCCAGCCACACGGTGGTCCTGGAGCTCTCTGGACCTCGTCCAGTCTCCATCTCCTCACACACCTGCCTCCAGCCCCGTCTTTGGCTCCTGTGCTCCTCAGCTGCTCCTGATTGGTCCCTCCCAGCAACCCTTCTCGCTGCTGCAGCCAGAATGATTTTATAAACCACACACCCAATCATGGCACTCCTTTGCTTAAGACCTTTCAGTGGTTCTTATTGCTCTTAAAAAAATCCAAATCCCCTGGCCTAGCATTCAAGGCCCCACTGACTGGATGCCTCCAGCCTTATCTGTCACTGTGTCCTCCTCATGCCTGTGCTCCGGTCTCACTGAGCTTTGAGTCCCCCCAACACTGGACAGCCAGGGGCTTTGCACAGGCTGTGCGCTGGCCTGGACACTCTTACCCCTTTCTCTTTACCTGCTTCATGCTGTACGTCTCAGCTAAATGACAGTTCATCCAGGAAGCTGTCCTGGACACACATGCCATGTTGTGCCCTGTGGTTCTTGGCAACTAGTACCATGGCATCTCTGGCTACGTCCAAAGGGGCCAGCTCCAGACTTAGCAGAATTCAGCTGGCTAAGTGAGAGTGCCCAAGAAGTAGGGACTGGAAGCCTGTGCAGAAAAGGGTGTGGGACCTCCCAAAGGCCCTGTGACCCCAGTGTTCCAGGCAGGCCTGGTCTGCTCTGCTGCCAACCCCAGGGTGTCTGCACCTCGGTGGGTAGGCCCCCTTGGAGAATGGTCTAAAGGTCTGTCTCTCTTCCCAAGGAAAGCACTATGCACACATGCAGTTTTCCATGGTTTTTCTCCCTGCACCGTGGTGTTCATGAAACCTGAGTTCAGATCCCCTGGTTTAAATCAAACTGAGTAGGGAAGGGAAACTTTCCCTGGACATGTATGGGGAAGGGTTGGGTGGGGTGAGAAAACCTTGGGCTGGGCACTGAGGACTTACCTCGAGACCCTGGGCCACCTTCCCTTTCCCACTGAGCCTCGGTTTATCCAGATGGAAAGTGAGGGCTGGAATCAGCCATCTCCAAAGCCGGAGTTGCATGTTCAGATGCCTTAGAGGCCAGATGGGGACCAGGCACAAGTGAGGGGACAGAGTTGGTGTTGCCTCTTGGGAGCATGGGCTCCTTGCTGCTGGACACCCCCACGTCTCTTCAGAGAAGCTGCGTTTGTGTGCCATATTTCTGATTCTGTTGTCATTGTGCGGGCAGAGAAGTGCAGCATGACGACCGCATGAGGGTCCAGACTGGGGCCCTAGAGGCAGGCGTGGCGGTGCTGGGGGCTGTGCTGGCAGCAGGGTTGTTGGGGCAACTTGGCAGGCAGAGGCTGTGCCGGGGAACTTGCGGAGAATTCTGCTCTGCTTCATCACAGCCACCCTCACTCCCCTTTCGTGCGTCCACAACCTCCGGGCCAACCTTGCCACCGCTTCTCACCGGGGCCTACCTGGTGGGAGGGAACGGGCTGCCCTAGGGGCTCTTCTCCAACCAGGGGCTGGGGAGGGATGCGACTGCCAAGATGCAGGCCGCCTGGCCAGGGGTTTGAGCTCCAGCTGGCAGAGTGGCAGCCCAAGGCCCCTGCCTGCCTCGTGGTGGCCCCTCAGAGTGACATAGGGGCATCCCTGCTCTGCAAGCCAGATTCATCTGGCTTCAGCCAATAAAGGTAGGGGTAATTCGGGGCCAAGTGGTGTCCCCTGAGCTCTGCCTGCCCTGCCTGACTCTTCCCTGGCGGACGACTAGCCGCAGCTGCCCCCGGGTCCCTCACCCACCCCGGGCACAGCCTAATGGAAAAGAGAAGGGAATTCTTCTCGGCAGGCGGCCACTATGCCCTAAGCTTAAGTCATGGGACCCTTTTCAAAACCAATCATCACGGCCCGGGAATGCAACATGCTGATTGGCTCCAGCCTGAGTCACGTGCTCTGCGCATGGCCTGCAGTGTTAGTGGGGAACAGGGCTGCTGGGAGGCTGACCTCGGTGCCCTCCTCAGTGTGCCCTGCGACGGACGGT